TTTGTTTGATGATCTGAATCTTTTAAGTGTGACAAATATGCAAAAAAAAACTAAAACAGGAAGGGGGCAAAAACCTTTTCACAGCACTGGACATCTGCACTTTGTTGTTTCTAATGAGAGAATTCGCCAAAGTGCACTGACCAAACATTTCGCGTATCAGCGATGTTAAGATTTAGTAAAATCCCCTTAAATAATAAAAAAAAGCTATAAGCTATAATCAGTGATGTTGTCTGCAGTGTATGATGAATTAATCTCTTATTTACATCGCATACATCTGCACTTTGTTGTTTCTGATGAGAGAATTCGCCAAAGTGCACTGACCAAAATTTTTGCGTATCAGTGATGTTAATATTTAGCAAAATCCCCTTAAATAATAGAAATATTAAAGAAAAAATTATTGAACTAAAATCACAAAAGCACAAATATATATTGCTTCATGTGTATGTTAATATATAAGAGTTTGGGCTGTTTAATATTAGGATTTTATTAAAAATCCCCCACCATGGCCCCGCCCTGCAACATCAAGCCCCACGGCTATGTTTAAAACGCAGTAGGCTCGTTAGGAAAAAGGTGGATAACATAATGATTTGCGAGGGCGCAGAGCTCATGCTGAACAAACTCTGGCATACTGAGCGTTAACTTGAACGCCTCTGATTGGCCATTGCCTTCATGCGCAAACAAACTTGTCTGTGATAGGCTACGGTGCTCAGCGCAGCTAAAATACATTGTAAATAGAAACCTTTGATGCTCTTCATGGAGCGCTCAGGTGAATACGGGAGCGGTTGAACGCAGCTGCATATCAGCGGGTACCAGATCCAGCAGGTACTCAGTACTGCGGAAAGGCTGGTATTGTTACATTTTTAAAAAGTATCGACTTGGTACCGAAGTCCCGGTGTTTTTGACAACACTTGTGTGTCCGTGTGCTCACAGTATTCCTGAGCTGGTCTCGTGGATGAAGGATCTTCAGAAGAGTCTCCACAATCCTCCCACTGCCGGCTACAGTCCAGAGAGAGGACAGATGGAGATGTGTGTCACCACCGGCAGTCAGGAGGGGCTCTGCAAAGTACATCCACACCGTTAACATCACACATACATCTGCTTCCAATCTGGAACCAATCTGATGCATTTTAAAGTTCTGTTTGTGGGTAGTAATAATATGCTCAGTTAACTAAGCCTTCCTCTAGCTGAAAGAGTAGAGAAATGCACTATTAACCAAAAGTCATGGGTCGATTCCCAGGAAAAATGTCAGTCGCTTTGGATAAAAGCATCTGTTAAATACATAAATGTAAATGCTACAGTTATCAAAAAAAGTTACGTAAAATAAACTAACTTAAATAATTTTAAATAAAAAATTGAAAGTTAGAACTGTTGACTTGGCATACTGAAATAAAGCCCTAAATAAAATAAAAATAAATTAAAGCTATATATAGAAAAAAAAAATTACTAAAAATTCATCTAAAATTAAAATGAAAGCTGAAAATGTAAAATAATATACTGTAGTAATGTATAAATTATACCAAAAACACATAATAAGACAAATATAAATGTAAACTACACCAATAAAAACAAATTGTTACTTGAAATGAAAAAAAACAAACATTTTATTTGAACTAGTTGCCAAGGCAACATCTCTCATTTTCATTTAGTTTGACTTGATGTACTAAAACAACTAAAACTGAAAAAAAAAAAAAACAATTATAAAAGCTATATAGACATATTTTTTAAAAATGACACGAACACGCATCCCAATTACTAGAACTTAAAAATCAAAATGGATAGTAAATAATTTAGGATAAAATCCTAAAATAAAATCCTAATTTTCACCAATATATCATACATCTCTAATCAGGGTTATTATTGGTACCTAAAAGTAAAACCTAACAAGTTAGTTACTTGAAATAAAATTAAATGTTAACTGAAATCAAATGAAACAAACTTAACTAAAAGATAATAAAAACTACACAGACCATTAAAAAAAAAAATACAAAAAAAGACTAAAACTTTAACTGAAATTAAAATGAAATCAGAAAATATAAATATATATAATTAAAAACTATAAAAGCATCTAAAATAACATTGTCCCAATATATGCTCTTCTTGTGGATACACGCTGTTCTGATGTTTGTAATCTGTGAATTGCGTTTGATATTACAAGTGATATGCTTATAGAATTATGTGGCACTATTTAGAATGAAATCAAATGGTAATTTTCCTCTTCACTCTGATCATCAGATATTTGAGATGCTGGTCAATTCTGGAGATAGCGTCCTCCTCGACGCTCCCACGCAGCTGTATGAAGCACACTTCCCATCATCACCATTTTTTTCCTGCGATCTCTCTCTCTCTCGATCTCGAGCCATTAAATGTAAACATTACCAACGCTTTCATAAACAGCTGCAGCCACTGGGCTGTAACCGCATTAACGGCATGATCCCTGCAGACCTGAGGAAGCTCCTGGAGCGCTGGGACCCAGCAGACGCACAGAAACCGGGAAGCAGCGTCCCGAGAGTCCTGTACACCATCCCGAACGGAGGCAACCCCACCAGAGCGTCCGTGACCTGTGAGAGGAAACAGGAAGTCTATGAGGTGAGCAGAGTTTATTCCTCAGTGCACACATACAGCGGGGAAAATATAAGTATTGAACACGTCACCATTTTTCTCAGTAAATATATTTCAAAAGGTGCTGTTGACATGAAATTTTCACCAGATGTCGGTAACAACCCAAGTCATCCATACATACAAAGAAAACAAAACAAATAAGTTCAGGAATTAAGTTCTGTGTAATAAAGTAGAATGACACAGGGAAAAAGTATAGTATAAAAAAAATGGTATAATATTATACTAAATATATAAAAAATGTAATGTATTTTATTAAAAAATAAAATGCTAAAAAGAATAATGATTAAAAAAAATGTAAATGAAATATAAAAATGTTGCCTTGGCAACTAACTGAAATAAATAATTTGAAGTTGACGTACTAAAATTATTAAAAATAAAAATAAATTAAAGCTATATCAGAAGTTTCCGGAAAATCTGAAAAAAATCCCCAAAATTAATAAAGATTACAAAAGTACGTAGCATATTACTTGCACTAAAATTAAAACTGGAAAATAAATCCTAATTCGTATTAGTATATACTATACTTTTATGTAAACAATACTAAACTAAAATGAGAAGTGAAAATATTATAAAATAAAATCTAATTCAGAATATATATATATATATATATATATATAGTGTACTAGTATAGAAATAATACTAAACCGAAACAAACTGAAAATATTTAACAAAAATCTAATTCAAAATGTTAGTATATGCTTGGTGTATAAATAATACTAATAGAAAACTAAAAATATTAACATAAAAGCTAATTCAGAATATCAATATATACTATACTAGTATATAAATAATACTAAACTTATAACAAAAACTGAAAATATTATTTACATAAACACTATTCTAGTTTATAAATAAAACTGAGTTAAAATTACAGCTGAAAATATAAAAATAAAAGTGAATTCAAATTATGAATATATGATATGCAAGTATATAGATAATGCTAAAATAAAACAGAAAATATAATATATAAATATAATGCTAAGCTAGTACTATTCTACTATATTATTTTTCTATAATATTATTTTTAAATGTTAATGTAAAAAAAGACAACTATCAAAGTTTGTAGTTTAAGTGTAAATATTGCTGTTTGTTCTCAACCAATGGCATGAGTTTGGGGGCGGGGCTGTTTGTTTTCCCGACCAATGGCAGACAGCCAGTGTTGAATATGCTTACTATTGAGTTTTTAATTTGCAGCTTGCCAGCTAATTTGATTTGCTTATCATTGAGGATGTTTCCTGCAGTTCCAGGAAGTAATTTGCTCTGATTTATCTCTGTTTGTATTGTGTGATAGATTAGCATGCAGCGGTAGTCACACACTGACCTCTCTGTTAGCCTCTCTATTGCTGCTGTGATAAGATAAAACTCAGTAATAAAATAAATAAAGTCAATCGTCTGCTCTCTTCTTCTGTTGCTCTGCTGTCATCCAGTGTTTGTCAGTGGGACAGTGCTGTTTCTGTCCTGAGACACAGCCGTCACGCTCATTATATCGACTCGAGGGAGAAAAGCTCGAAGAGAAACCTGTGTGAATGACAACACTGAGATATATAACACTGGAAATCCTGTCTCATCTCTATCCACTTCTGTTATTACCATGCTTTTTTATCATGGCAGTGTCATTTTATTCTTGGAAAGTGACATTGGTAGTGCCATTTAATTGTTGTACAGTACATGATATATATACATGTAATAATTGAAAATTAAAATACCATACCATAAATTAATAGATACAAGTAAATATAGTACATCGTTCCATGAATTATTCATATAATTGGTCTACATATACCAGGCAGATGTTTTGCCCCAGGCCTGGTGCTGCACTGATCAATACAGTCAAGAGCCCCTAAACCCCAACGGGTGTCCTAATGCAAAATGAGTTCTGAGTGTTGTGTGATGCCGTGAGAGATTGTGTAATATTCCTCCCTAGGGAGGCAAACAAATAAACAGCAAGCCATCAGTTTTACTGTAGCAGGTTTTGATGTGGCTCTTGTAAAAGAAAATGGAAAAAGACAGAATTATCCTATATTTAATATTATCTCATATTTTATAACTGTGCACAAAAACATTATTATAATAGTATTATAATATATTTGTATTTAGGGATTTTTGGGAAATTTGTGCATATATGTACCAATTAGAACTAAATTAGCACTATATATAATAACATATATATATATATATATATATATATATATATATATATGTCATATACACAAATATATAATTTATGTGTTTGTATTTTTAGTTGTTTTTTGTATCTTAATGTATTTAAATAACATTCTATTCAATAGTTTTTTAAATAAAAAATAACATTAATAATTTATATTAGTAAATATAATTTACTAATTATATTGGATCTTCTTTATGCACCAAGAGCTTGTAACACTCCAAAGAGAAAGGAAGAATTGAAATCGCATCATATGACTCCTTTAAGCACCTTTGGGCTTTTCTCAGATTGTGAAACACTTGTGTTTGAGTTTCATTATTCTCGAATCATTTGTGTGTGTTTGTGCTGTTGTTCTGGTCAGGTTGCAGATGGGTTTGGTCACTGGACCGAAGCCGCTGGTGGACCGCGTGGTGATGCACACCAGCACCTTCACACGGGTCACACCTCTTACATTCACTCCTCATCATCATCGCTCACATTCACCGTCCTGCTTCTCTCCTGAATCAGCAGCGCAGCAGCTTCAGTCGAGGGCTCTTTAGCTGTAGTCCCTAAATGACAGGCCTTGTGTTCTGCTTTCAGAGGTGTGTCTCTGAGAGCAGGAGTGGATTCATGAGAGGAGGAGGTGTGTTTGTACTGTATGTGTGTTTGTTTGGGCTCCCAACTTTGAATTATTCTCACAGCGTGAATCTTAGGAGAAGAGATGCAGCGAGAAAAACAAGCGTGAGTGAGAATAGGCCTGGGCGATAAAACGGTATCATTATTCTCGAATCATTTGTGTGTGTTTGTGCTGTTGTTCTGGTCAGGTTGCAGATGGGTTTGGTCACTGGACCGAAGCCGCTGGTGGACCGCGTGGTGATGCACACCAGCACCTTCACACGGGTCACACCTCTTACATTCACTCCTCATCATCATCGCTCACATTCACCGTCCTGCTTCTCTCCTGAATCAGCAGCGCAGCAGCCTCAGTCGAGGGCTCTTTAGCTGTAGTCCCTAAATGACAGGCCTTGTGTTCTGCTTTCAGAGGTGTGTCTCTGAGAGCAGGAGTGGATTCATGAGAGGAGGAGGTGTGTTTGTACTGTATGTGTGTTTGTTTGGGCTCCCAACTTTGAATTATTCTCACAGCGTGAATCTCAGGAGAAGAGATGCAGTGAGAAAAACAAGCGTGAGATTAGGCCTGGGCGATAAAACGGTATCGATATTTATCGACGGTACACCTTCATCGATAACGATATAAAAAATGTTCGATATAGGCACGTGTTATGAGTGACGCAGACAGCACACACAAACACGAACACATGCTGAAATGCCTGCCTGTGATGAGGAGATTGTGAATAAAAAATATAGGCAATATAGGCACGTGCTATGAGTGACGCAGACAGCACACACAAACACGAACACATGCTGAAATGCCTGCCTGTGATGAGGAGATTGTGAATAAAAAAAAGAATATTAGTCGAATTTAAAATAAACATTTGCATTTGAATGCAAAAATGGTACAGTCAAATGTTAGGAGTGCATCAGGTAGCGTCATCAGTGGTGCACGAGATGCGGTGATGATGATGTAAGTGACGTTGTTACATTTGAATGTTTTGTTAGTGTAGCCCACGAGACGCTGCTGCGTTATTCATTCAAAATATTAGAGAAATATAGTAGCTCAATGCATAGAAGATCTTGATTAGGTTAAAACTGAAACCAAGCCATTCACACAGAATGCATATTCAGCACATTTTTTAGACGGACAAATATGACTGCTGCACTCACGTCTCATGCAGGAGATGCAAAGAAAGCCATGCAAAGTTAAAACAATTTAAACTTTTAGAAAACGCGGTTTATTTCATTTCACTGCGTCTCATATGTTTTTAAATGCAATCTGTGTGATCGGCGATTTGGCTCTTTGTATTAGGCTAAGCAATGCATAAATACATGATGCTGTTTTGTTCATAATTGTTTATGCAGTTTACAAAATTATATTTGATTTATATATGTTAATTTAGACGTAATGCATGTTTTTATAGACAGTTATTTCCCTGCGTTAACATTATGTGCTGCATTATTTTGCTCATTGCACCCTCCTGTGGCCTCGGGAGACGAGCCAAAAGTTTCCTTAAGACTTGGAAAATGACATTTGGTAGTGCCATTTTTATTTATTTGTTTTTTAGTTTTTATTTATTTGTATTATTTGCAAAATACTCTTTAATTAAGATTACCAAAGTCATTAAATAATACATAATAATATTGATTCCTGTTTTTCACTTTGGTGGAATGATTTGCAAAATACTCTTAAGATTTAGCATCAAATAATGTTTAATAAATATTAGATAATATTTACTTTATTAATAATTACTAATATATATATTTTTTTTGAATAATGTGTAATTTTTTTAGCTGTAGAGAGATGATTTGCAAAATACTCTTATACAATAATGTATGAAGTGCTTTGTTTTCTTTTTCATTTTTTAAATAATTGCTATACCATATCATAAACGTATCTGATATATTGTGACCTGCAAAATACAGGCCATATTATGTTTCTTGTAGCTGAATCAAACTGAAGCCCGAATAAAATAACGAAGCCTCTTGTTAGTCGTATTGTATAATGACCCTCAAAGTTTGTTTTTCCTCTCCTCTCTCTGTGTTTTCAGCTCATCGTTTCTCAGCTGCTTCATAGCTGGGGTCCAGAAGGTTTTCTCAAGCACATTGACGGGTGAGCCGGACATTTATTTATGAGTTCAATCAAATTCCTGTGTTATTATATAAATGACCACAGGGTTCTGCTTACTATATTTGAATTGTTGTTCATAACTGTATTTCATTCTGTATTGTAAACTTGTACAGACTTCAGTTGGACCTTTGGTTAGCTGTTAAATATTTGAACAGGTTTTATTTAAGTTGAGATGTGCGTAATATGGTTGACATTAGTTTTTGCTCTTCCTCAGGGGGATCGAGTTTTACAGATCTCAGAGGAACGCCATGCTCTCCTCAGCAGACCAATGGCTCAAAGGTTGGACTCTCATATCAACTGCATCTGTTATGGACACTATCATATTAGTCTTATGTAACTGTATTTTAACATTGATCCCAGTGCAATGCCTGATATAGTTTTTTATACTAAAATTGCAAATGGAGTCGAGTCTAAATAATCTTCTGTAGTAATAAGCTGTATGGACAACATCTGTGGCACACTGCCGATGTTGTTTTGAACTAAAACACAAGGCAGAAGTTCACAACTGCTATTGATTTTGTTGGAATAAGTAAATTATTTCATATATGTGACCCCGGACCACAAAACCAGTCATAAGGGTCAATTTTTCGAAATTGAGATTTATGCATCATCTGAAAGCTGAATAAATAAGCTTTCATTGATGTATGGTTTGTTAGGATCGGACAATATTTGGCCGAGATACAACTATTTGAAAATCTGGAATCTGAGGGTGCAAACAAAATCTAAATATTGAGAAAATCATCTTTAAAATTGTCCAAATGAAGTTCTTAGCAATGCATATTACTAATCAAAAATTAAGTTTTGATATATTTACGGTAGGATATTTACAAAATATCTTCATGGAACATGATCTTTACTTAATATCTTAATGATTTTTGGCATAAAAGAAAAATCTATAATTTTGACCCATACCATGTATTGTAGGCTATTGCTACAAATATACCCCAGCGACTTAAGACTGCTTTTGTGCTCCAGGGTCACATATTTGAATGTCGGAGTCCAGATTACAGTATTTAAAGGAATACGTAGTTCACCTCAAAATTAAAAATGCTGAAAACATACCCTCAGGCCATCCAAGGTGTAGATGAGTTTGTTTCTTCATCAGATCTGAAGCATTGCATCACTTGCCAATGGATCCTCTGCAGTGAATGGGTGCCGTCCATCAATTAACATCTTTTGTATTTTTGTAAAAAAATCCATTATTAATGCATTTTAAGGCTAAAATATGAGTCCATAATAACTCTTCCTCAAATGAAAAAGTCCATCTCCTGTTGTCTCTCACATTAAAATCCACCAGCTGTTGCTGATAATGGAGAGAGCGTTAGAGAAAGAGGTTCAACACACTCACACACATCTGCGTAATTCACACGTACACAAAAGCTCACACAGTTTACATTTGTGCTGAATGTGATGATTTAAATGTTTGCATTTGCTACATGAACAAATACTCACTTCTGTACGAAACCACTTTCCTTTATCACTGCAAACATTTCCTGTGAGTCAGAGTCGTTTGTATGGGTCGTTGCTTTATGATACAGTACAGCAGGTTTGCTGGGGCTTTTTGCCAAAGCAAAGTTTGAATTTTGTGTGTGTGTGTGTTTATGTAAATGAACTGAAGCACCTGATCCTGAAAACACACCACATGTTTTGCCTTCCACACATTCAATACAGCGTCTGTTTCTGTTGAGACGAGCATGGAGTCAGTCCTGTTGAACATCTTTACACTGTATTTACTTCACGTGTTTGAAGCTGAACATTTTCAGTGTTCAAATCCTTTTCTTATTCCACCTTATTAACAATAAGTAAGCCTTCAAAACACTGCTCTGTTTGTTTGAGCATTGACAGTCAAGAGTTACGTCTGTAAACGTGATGCTAGACTTTAGTTTCTCCTGAAGTCTCGG